TCTTGATTATAATTCTTTCAATTCGTGGTGGAATTTTCGCTTTGGGGTTGTTGAGAAGAGGAAGTAATGGTTTGTGGTCCGTCGCTAGCTTAAATTTTGGTGCTCCGAGTAAGTACATCTACAGTCGATTTGTGGAAAATTCAGCTGCTAATGCCTCCCTTTCGATTTGATAATAGCGTTTCTCTGTATCGGTCAGTGTTCGGCTGACGTAATGGACAGGTTGAAATCCATCTGCTGTCTTTTGGAGTAAGGCTCCACCGAAGCCCTCTGGACTACCGTCGACAATGACTAAGGATTCTCTTCCTGGTTGATATGGAATTAGAACTGGTGCTGTTGTTAGCGCTGTTTTCAGGTCGTCAAATGCTCTTTGTTGCTCTGAAAACCCACTCGAACTTGGTGTTGGCTTTGGTCAGTCTTCTTAGAGGCTCGCATCTACCTGAGAATCGATCGATGTACCGAGAAAGGTATGCAACCATCTGTAAAAATGATACCAATTCTTCTTTGGTGTTGGGTTTCTGGAAGGTGTTGACAGCATGGACCTTGCTGGCACTCGGCTTCAATCCTTCTGCAGTGAATAAGTGGCCATGGAATTCAAGTGTTGACTTTCGGAATTCACATTTCTCTTGTCTTAACGTAAGGTTGTAGTCCTTTAGTCGTCCCAGCACTACCTTCAGGTTCTTGTCGTGGTCAGCAAGATCTACACCTCCAATGATAATATCATCACGATTGTTCAGTGTTCTGGGAATACCCGATAGGATCTTTGCCATCTCGCCATCAAATAGGTCTTGACTGTTGACTCCCCCGAACGCAAGACGTTTGTATCGGTAATTTCCCCATGGCGTTGAGAATGTCATGGCTTGTCTGGACTGGGGATCAATGACAAACTGGTGGTATCCATGGTTGAGGTCCAACTTGTTGAATATGCGGCAATCCTTAAACGCTGTAATAAAATCTTCTGCAATGGGTGCTTGGACTTGGCGAGTTCGTAACATGGATTTATTCAGTGTTCGTAAATCCAAGCTGAGGCATATATCATTGGGATTCTTAGGTTGTACAACCATCTTATTTTTACTTCTGCTCAAGCGCCATTTGTAAGCTCAAAGTCTACCTCGGTCTGCTTCACGTCAGTCCGGTTCTATCTATCTATTCATAATGTAACCAGTCACTGAAAAGCCCTGATATAGGGAGTGTGCTGTGAAATATCTGTATCTGTAAAGCCGGGGAATACAGAAAGTTGCACAAATTGGGGAGTGTAATGCAGACATTTGTACTCACCCCAGCAGTTGTCACCTCACGAAGCTTACAATCAACGAGAGTGAACTTATACTTGCCAGAGCAGGGCACTTTTACCTACCCAGGAACAGCTGACAAACATGACTATCCAGTATGTTATTAGACCAGTTTCATTTTCAATTGGGTCTATCCTGTCAATATGAGATCAGTGGATAGACTTATATAAAAATGAAGCCAGTAGACAAATTTGGGTAACGTTGTTTACATCGTTGCTACCCAATTCACAGCTTTGGATAACTCACATGCCTATTTTCTATTATTCTAGTTTACAGAAGCATAGACTGAATAGAACAAAAGTAACTAAACATTAAACTTATGTATTATCACTTTATATTTACTGAGATCGAGGGAAACAGTGTGTTTTGTGGACCAGAGCCACTTATAGATAGTATATAAGTGTTAAAGTATGAATAATTCACCGATTATTGGAGTGACGAACTTAATTTGAAACCAAAACTGGATAAATGGAACGCCTAAAATATAAAGTTTAAAAAATAAACTTTGAAACTTCGCGGTTGACACGCATGCGTATTGCACCCATTTTATTATTGACTGGTCAATAAATGTTTCATTGCGGACCGGTTGCCGAACATGAGGTTTTGTGGACCGGCACGTGACACGGTTTTGACTAATCGGCAAATAGAAAAATTGAACTTTGACACTAACTAACAATAAGAGTTATAAGACAATATAACAATAAGAGTTAGTTACCTTTGTTCTATTTTATGCTTTTGTAATCTAGAACCATAGTAACTAGGCATGTGTGTTATATAAAGTTGTGAATTGGGTATAAACAAACGTTACCCAAATTTGTCTAATCGAGCTAGACTTGGGTCAGTACACGCATTTTCATAAAAATAGCAACCCTTCGGCTAAACAGGATTCTGATTATCATATTGAGCGACATCAAAATCATGGGAGTTTCTGCAAAGTGCATTAAACCGATATTACCTGTAGCACTATTTCATGACCTAAACATCGCACAGAGACACTTATGTAAGTTTTCTACTCACATTGGTCGTTCAGACATGCACCTCCCGCCGTGGGAGCGGCAGATCAAGGTCATAATCAGGAGATTATGGTATTGTGTCAATGTATTGACGAAGTTCTTATTATATTACCAGTATATTATTTAATAACATTAAAAGATATCAGGGTCGTAGACACCAGCAGAATCGTTGTAACTGTACTACTGTATGTGTATATTGAAAGTGTATAATTAGTGCAAGTGTAAGTTAAGTATAAATGTAAAGCAATTCGAATTCAAGAATGTTCTGTACACGATCGCTTGTATATATTGTAATTATATTTTCACAAAATTGTATATATTCTTTTGAACAAGTTAAAAAAGTTTACTCATGGGTAATAAATCAGCTTATTTTAACTCTTCAATTACTAGTGTCGCTGATCAGCGAACACGCGAATGTAAACAAACAGCTAAAAATAGACCCAATTTGGAGATTTATAACTTTTCAGAAAATTGCTTGCAGACGAGTTTTATTCCTGATTACTTAACTTTAGTAGGTATACTTTCAAATTACATGCCTTTTGAACTTCAGATAGGTGCCACTTTTGAGCTATTTTAAGTAAAATATGAGCAATTTTCAGCCTCTCGTCGCCATCTTGAAAACATAGTTTCGTAAAACTATAAAAAAATCGTATTAAGCAAATAAAGTTGTTCAATCTCCATGTAAACGAGAGTATTAGTGTTAATCTTGCATGTGAACAGTAACTGGAGGGGATAAACGCATCACAACGTTTTTAAAAAATCAGATGAATTCTTGTAAAATTCCCTTTCATTTCCGGTCTGAAAATATTCTCGCAAGGTCAAATTTTAACATGGCTATAACTCCTATAAAACAGAAAGTTGAAACGTTCTGAAAGAAGCTCGATTAATATTGACCAAAGTCTAGTTCATATGCAAAATATGAGCTAAATCTATTTTTCCTTCCCCAAACCAGTGAGTGGATTTTACTGAGAGGCCCTCTTAAATACTAGTATAATAGTTCTTCCAGGAAGACAGCTCTTCGCTTAACGTTTTATTCTATACTGCGAATATTCTCAGGTTACACAAACATGCTCATGCTAATATCATGCATAATTAATTGTACATTAGTTCCGGTAAGGTTTATGATTGGTTGTTACAGGGGTGTGGAAAAGTATCATATTACATGCTTCCACTTCCGCGCTTTACACTTCGATCAGAAGGAGTGAGTGTTCTATACAATCAACTTTGAGAATCACATATTCGTCAAAAAACTTGCTACATTTGGTTTCTGTTTGCTCTTAAATTATAAAAATATGCTAAACAGATTTTTATAGCAACAAGTCAGGAAATCAAGCAACAAAAACGTATGATCATATGCTCTATTGTTCTTATGTTCTCTCGGGGCTTGCCGCTTGGGCGTATTTAAAGGCACTTTCATTTCACACGTTTCTGCTCTGCCTTTGGTTCATATATTTACAATCGTATAATATGTCAGTAAATTGTTGCTATCTGGAAACGGTATACATTAAAGTTTGTATTGATTTACTTTCAACAGAGGTCTCGAGAGCGACTGCATGTTTATATATAGGTCGAGGCGCCTTTGAGGTCTTTTGGCAAAGGTTACACATTTGGACACTAGCCAAATACTCAAATGACCTTGAATGTCCATCTTATTCATTCTAAAACTGTTTACAGACTGTTTATATGCTACTGATTTTATTTTTATTTAATAGTTTACTAAACACTGGGTATTGTAGAAAGGAGTGTATAAGGTACAAAAATTGTTAGAGAATCTGCAGTACAGAATCATATTTATAAGACTCCATAGCCCTTTACCTCGCCTTTTATACCTTGCCACGTGAATAATAGTCGATAAGGTTTAGCAAAGTATTTTATGTGCATCCTTGACTTAATTTAGCGGAGACACTTTATACCATATATACATGCATGTACATAAACTTTATCTATTTACGCACAAAGTCTTGCACAGACATATATCATTACTTCTATACTTTATGAGATTTTATAAGCATTTTAAAGTTTCTATTGATAGGCTGTTTGTCTCTAGTGCGGCATAGCTGGATGCTAAATGTATAAAAGGCGATACTTTATATTTGATGTCTCACAGCACCGTGTGTTTATTTTAAAAATGCAAGATGGATCTCATGCTATACCCTGTATTTCATGACAAAACAAAATTTAGGATAGATCAAGCTACAAAGCTGCTGGCAATGAAAGCTCTTTATAATATTTATAATGTGCCTGTATAATATGCGTATATACAATTATTTTATATTTATTACAGTAATACACCATACACCATTTATATATATATATATATATATATATATATATATATATACATATA